TCGGGGCTGAGTGACAATAGCTTAATAAGTGGCACAATGTTCATCGCTGAGATTGCACACTGCTAGTCTAGAAGCTACTTTTGACCACTGGCCAAAGTCTGGTCTGTAGACATGTTTTGTGTGGCATTCACAATAGTTGACCTAAACATTTGTGTCTGGGCTTATTTAAAAAAATTTTTTTAATGTTTACTTATTTATTTTGAGAGAGAGAGAGAGAGAGAGAGGATGAGCAGGGGAGGGGCAGAGCAGGTGAGGGGCAGAGAAACAAGGAGAGAGAATCCCAAGGAGGCTCTTCACTGTCAATACAAAGCCCGATGTGGGGCTTGAACTCACGAACCGTGAGATCACGGCCTGAGCTGAAATCAAGAGTTGGTAACTTAACCGATTGAGCCACCCAGGCGCCCCTATCTGGGTTTATTTTTTAAATCTGAATATGTTCTTCCTGGGAAATCCACACACTTTCATTGTTCATGATTTATATTTAAAAAAAAAGAAAATGAATAGGAAGGCAGTTTGGAAACCAGTGATCAGTTTACACATGTGGTGGTAGGGCCCTTAGAGGGTGTGAGAATATTCTCCCAAATCTCACAACCAGTGAATGAGATTTTGTGGTTCTAAGGCCAGGATTCTCATCCCTGCCCGTCAGTGTGCTCCCAGGAGGATAGGTGAGCTCTGGTCTGCTACTTCCTCAAAGTGTGGTCCTCGGATCAGCAACACTAGTCTTGTCAGAAATGCAGAATGTCAGGCCCTGCCCCAGACTTACTGAATCATACCTGATTTTTTTTAATTAAAAAAAATTTTTTAATGTTTATTTTTGAGAGAGAGAGAGGGAAAGACAGAGACAGAGAGAGACAGAGACAGAGTGTGAGCAGGGGAGGGGCAGAGACAGAGGGAGACACAGAATCCAAAGCAGGCTCCAGGCTCTGAGCTGTCAGCACAGAGCCCTATGCGGGGCTTGAACCCACGAACTGTGAGATCATGACCTGAGCTGAGGTCAGATGCTTAACTCACTGAGCTGCCCAGGTGCCCCTGAGTCAGTAACAGATTTTACTGCGATCCCGTCATGCTTTCCGTGTGCACAGTAGCATCTGAGACATGCCGAAGATAGCTTTATAGAACAAAGAGAAGCAAACATTAATTGGATGTTACTGTTTTCCTTTGGGGTAGGGCCAGAGTATGAAGTGTACAGGTTGGTTCTCAGCAAGTCTCCTGACAATTATTCTGATTTCCCTCCTCCCTTCCTCCCGATTTACAGGCCCCCACACACGATGCAAACAGCTACATGCACACATATAACCACATGTGCATGCATGCCTACATCATATGCATTCTCTCTCCCTCTCTCTTCTCTCTCTCTCTCTCTCTCTCTCTCTCTCTCTCTCTCTCACACACACACACACACACACACACACACACTCACTCATGAGCCATTATCATGTGGCCTCTGTTCTCCCCCGCCCGGCCCGAATCCCTCACCTCGTTCCCCGCCGTGCACTGTGCTCTACTCACACTGATCTACTTGGACACAGTTGCCCGAACATATCAGGTGCCCCCTTCGCCTCCTCAGTCTTGTGTGCATGCTGCCTGCCAGTGCCTGTGATTCACACGCCCAATGACCAAGATGGAAACCTGATCATCAGCTCAATGTCTGGCTCTTAGAAGCCTTCCCACGTTGAGTAAGATGTATTCAGGCTGCGCTCATTCTCTGTGTTTGTATAGTACCCAACACACACCTTTCATGGAACATTCTTTCTCACTAGGGGATAATCGTATAATTTATGGTTTATCTCCTTGAAAGGAAGGAACCTTGCCCCACTTAGCAAGCAGTTCTGAGGAGGAGCAAACAAGGAAGGAAGAAACTAATACAGAGCTAGTAAGTCTGACCGATGCTTATCTGTAAAGAACAATAAAGCGTAGTGGTTAAACATCGACTCTGAGGTTGGGATTCCCAGATCAAAATCTGGGTACTTCTGCTAGTTGTCTGACCTTCCGGAACTACTTTAGCTCTCTGTAAATCAGTTTTCTTCCCTATAAAACAGTAATGGTATCTGTGGGGTTGTTGTGAACATTAAAGGGGATCAACTATGCCAGTAAAATGCTTTGCATGAAGCCTGGCTGGTGGTGAGCGCTCACTCTTGTGTTTGCCAGCTCGGTACTATGATGTGATATGTTAAGCTCTTATGATCTATTGCTGTATAACCTGCGGGCTTAAAGCACCCGTAGCATTTCCTTTGCAATTTGGGCAGGACTCTCCTCCTCCCTCCCTCCCTCCCTCCCTTCCTTACAACATCTGCTCTTTATTCCAAAACATTTATTGACCAGGTATCATGAGAGAACCACAAGGCATTTGTTGGCTGACTGAGATATTGGAAATTCTTGACAAGAAGTTGTGCTGAGGCCAACACAGTTTGGAAGCTGAACAGACCTAACTTGGAAAAAGATGTTCCCTCTCTGCTCTTATCTGGAAGTCCTAAATTACCAAGTACAAGGGCTTGTGTAAAACCCCAGTCTAAGTTGGGCCGGTGGGGATAGCCCAGCAGTCTACCTGGAAGGTGGGGGGAAGGGCGGGGCATCTCAGGTGTGGGGCTCCTGAACGTGGCAATTATGTTAGGTGGGTTACCTAAGTCAGAGGAAGTAGAACCCAGTTCTTTCCTGGCGAGAACCTGGTTGGGCATGGATGGAGTTTGGGTCTTTTCCAATTGGTTAAGGTATTGGATGCTAATTGGAAATTAGCATGGGGGCCAGGATCTCAGGACCAGGCACAAGGAAGTCATGTGGACTGGAAAGACCGGGTGAAAGTATCAGGGAGGCTGCAGGCTGACCCTCACTTGGGCTTGTGTAGTGGGATTCTGGGGTCATAGCCACAGAAGATGGCTTTAAGATACCCTCATGGTGAGTAAGGCAGTTCTGCTGGACATAGCTCACAATGGCTAAGAACTGAGCAAGATTAAGTCTACAGGGAACCAGATGATGGAGATCCTTAGCTGCTCAGGTCTGGGGAACAGATACACTCATAGTCTAGCAGAGCATACTGACCGACATATCATTTCCATAAGGCATGACACGTACTCTGAGTTGGGTTTGCAGTCTTGACTCATTTTCTGAAACACAAGTGTGGGTGACTTAATATTAGTGGGAAATTGCTCGCTACATTTTCTGGGCTTTGGGCTGGGAACTGGTGAAATAGGGAGGCGGAGTTATCCTCATTCTATTACTTGTCTGTGGATCCTCCGAGCGTACAGAGAAATGGCAGATTTGAACACAGGCTTGGCAATTTACCCTAGACATCCCCATGGTTGATTTCCTTTAGGTCTTTGCCTAAATGTCCTGTCTCAATGAGAGCTTCCTGAACCATCTTATTTAAAATCTCCACCTCCCACCCTGGCTCTCCTGGTTCCCTTCCTTCCCATTATTTTTCTCTATGACTCTTATCAGCCACCTACCAACTGTATATTTTACTCATTTATTATTTCTTTTCCCCAATTGGAACGTAAGCTCTACGAAGGCCAAGATTTTCAGGTGTTTGTACCTCACTGTATGCCCAGTAACTAAAAGAATGCTTACCTAATAATAGGCATTTAATATATACTGTAGACTCATAGGCATATTTCACGAAGTAACAGCATATACAGAAACGTAAAAGGAAATAGCATCTTCCATGGCTTTGAGGTGTGTAAAGGCTGAAAGTGACAATACAGGTGAGTGAAAAAAATCTTAATGAACACCATTGACAACACCAAAGCTATCATTTCGTTTCATCTCATGGAATAAAATGATAAAAGAAAGAACTCTGTCATGGGGAAGATAAGACAGAGCGTAGTTAAATCTCTCCTTTTGGGGACCAGCCTTCAAGTTAATCAGCTAATTGAAGCTCTTTGCTTTCTGTCGGCCCTTCCTGGCACACACCTGCAGAAATAAAGCATCTGCAGATCCAGAAGCTTCCTTTCTGTGAAAGACAGTTTGTGTTCACCATTTGGTTTCCAGTCAAGGCCGGGTGAAAGGATACTTATGTAATCTGTATTCCATATTTTTGACTTCGTGAAGGATGGTCTGCAAAGTTTCCTTCACAGGTGTGGTAAAGCACATCAGGACTTAGCACAGGCATTGATAATTAGTAAGCCTTCAATATTTAGTAGGAAGACATTATCCACATGCTTCTGGGGATGTGCCATGACCGTGAAGATGCTGACTTTCATTGCAATACCATAAACATGTCAATAGCAATATATTTATAGGATATCTTAAATTAACCGATCTTATTATTAGAAGGGAAGTAAAGTTACATGTGATAAAGAAAGGATGCTCATTGCTGGGCTCTTATTACCCTGAGAAATCTGAACATTGGTTGTAGCTTGGAGATGGTCTTTTTTGGGGGGAATAATAACATAGCCAGTCTTATGGGTAGTTGGCATTTTTCACTCACACCCTTTTCTTCCTTCCCATGTTCCTTATAACCTTTGGTCACACTTTCCCCTTGAAATTCTCTCTTTAAACATAACCCTGCAGGTAAGGATTTTTATCACACAGTCCTTCCTTCCTTCCTTCCTTCCTTCCTTCCTTCCTTCCTTCCTTCCTTCCTTTCTCTTTCTTTTTCTTTTTTCTTTCTTCCTTTCCTTCTTTCTTTCTCTTTCTCTTTCTTTCTTTCTTTCTTGCTTGCTTGCTTAAAAATAAAATGACAGCACTACCTTCTGCGGATTATGCCTCTAAAAGAGTCATCTTCAAGAAGGGTACATCAGACCCAGCTATGGTTGATCTATTTTAGTATGTGCACATATGTGGCAACCTGTGAGGCTAGTTTTTCGAATGGCATTCCTAAGAATTTGAATTCATACAGCACTTCTAATTTGCCATGAACATCTGTTATAGTCCACCTTTTATGTCTGTGACGCAGACTCTCTAGAACACATAAAAAGGGGCATTGGATTTTCTAGAACATTGCATGGTTTCTAATGTCTTGTCTTTTCTCTCCACCCTGTCTTCTCTTTCCCCCCACCTTGCAGGGGTGATAGTCTACCTAGGAATGATGGCGGGGGCCTTCGTGCTGGGGGGCCTGGCCGATAAGCTGGGGAGGAAGAGAGTCCTCAGCATGTCTCTGGCCCTCAACGCCTCCTTCGCCTCTCTCTCCTCCTTCGTGCAGGGATATGGAGCCTTCCTCTTCTGCCGACTCCTCTCAGGCATAGGGTATGCAAACGCAGGGCTTTGCTGGACCCTCATAGACCAGGTTTCCATCCATCCTGGCACTATAGTTCCGAGTGGTACTTCTGGAAAACCTTGGACTGGGTTTTGTGTTTGACTTCCAAGATAGTACATTAAAGCTGAACCTTAGAAAGGGGTTAGGTTGTAAAGTCAGTGTATAAGGTCAAAATAACCCGATACTGGCTTCACCTTAGCCAGTCTTTCAAATTCACTGGGTTACTTTACCACAGAACTTACGGGTAGGGTGTAAGGTGACTAGGTTTCTGCTAAGCCCATTTTTAGTGTATGACTCGATTCTTTCTTTTTGGCATTTTCTTTTTGCAGGATTGGGGGTGCTCTGCCCATTGTTTTTGCCTATTTTTCTGAATTCTTGTCTCGGGAGAAGCGAGGAGAACACCTCAGTTGGCTGGGCATCTTCTGGATGACGGGGGGCATTTATGCATCTGCCATGGCCTGGAGCATCATTCCACACTATGGTGAGTGCACTGCCTTCAAAAAGCCCAGGGATCCTTGTCACTATGGCACCTGCATCCAACAACATTTGCCGTCCTCAACCTTATTCCCCAAGCTCACACACAGTTCCTGTGTGTGACCTTGATCTCTCTATAGAACTTCCAACGCTGGAAGACACATCACTAATTTCAGTACACACAGCTTTCTGGATAGAATACAATCTGTCCTTCCTGCCTCCCTCCCTCTCTCCTTCCTTCTTTTCTTTGTTCTATTTGAAAGAATTTCAACCTTTATCTCCCCAGCCCTCCTCCCCCTAGCAAGTTAGGCTTTGATAACCCCATTTTATAGATTCCATAACAAAAGCAAGAGAAGTTGGTGACTTAGCCAAGGTCACGTCCTGGCACGACCTTGAATGCTGGTGCTCTGCCTGCCCCCTGCTCCCATGCGGTACTCTTGTATACTCTCCATTCTAGTGCCTGCTGTCACTCTTGTTTGGCTGCAGAAGTGGGGCAGCCCTTACAGACAAGGTCTTCGATTCAGCTGGAACAATTTTATTATCCTGGATAATTGCAAAAACCAGATTCTCTGGACAGAGACCTGGCAGTGTTTACTTTCACAATTGGTTTTGTTAAGAGTAAAGTAGGAAGAACGCAGCAGTTTTGATTTCGATTATGTCTTTTAAGCATCCTGGGCAATAAATGCCATCAGCGTCCTTAAAATTGTTTTCGGTAAACCCCTGATGATGGGTGAGACTGTGCCATCATTTAGAATCCTGCAGAACTACAGGGGTAGCAGAGAACTGCCCGAAGCTAACCAACACTTCCCTAGCCATTCACCTCCTTGAAATCTCATCCTCTTTGTGTGTTCTGAGGTGATGGAAGCTCTTGTATATCTTTTTAAGAAGTTCTGGTATAGACACTGCCTACCCTGGATGATGCTGGATTCATTACCCTGGTAATCTGATAAATCCTAAAATCTCATTGTTTTAACATAACAGAAGTTTCTCCCTCTTGTAAAATAGGGCTGATATTCCTGATGTGCAGGTGGCTCTGTTCCATCAGCAATATTGGGGCTCAGACTCTTTCCAGCGTGTGATTGCACCGTCTGTAACACGTGGCTTAAAGTCTGCTTGGGGAAAGAGTATGGGCAATTGTACGTGCGTGGTTGTGAAGGGCCAACAGCCCTCTCTGCTTCCATCCCATTGGCCCCAAATCTGTAACGTGATCACCAATACTGCAAAGGACACTTGGCGATGCAATCTTGCCGTGTGCCCAGCAAGTAGAGGAAACGGGTTTGTGAACGTGGAATCTTTGCCATATCTCGTCTTTGAGAACCCACTGGATTTTCGTATAAGAAACAGAAAAGAAATAGAAACAGGAATAATGAAATCAAGGGATGAAGGGTTTTCCAGAGAATTCTGTCACCAGAAGCAGTTCTCCATCATTTTAGATACAAAATCATATTACTCCTAATATCATTTCTGCACTCTGCCTTTCACGCAAACACATACTTTAATGACCCATATACTATAGTGTTGGTTACATGGGTCAGAGGAATTGCTTCCCCTCCCCAGCAATTCTTGCTATAGTATCATTAGCACTGTTAACTCATCCCCATGTGTGAGCTCTAAGAAACTATTTCCACATTTAAATTAAGTAAACAATCTTTTTTTTTTTTTTTTTTTTTTTTTTTTTTTTTTTTTTTTTTTTTTTTATGGAGGAGAGGCATGTAGGGACAAATAAAACCTGCATAAAAGCTGAGCCAAAGTGGTGATGCTGTGTGGTTGCGGCCAAGTCACTTCATCTCGTCCAGCCGTGGTTCCTTCACCTAGAAGGCGGAGAGGGAAGGAAGTAAGAGCCATAGAGATCCGTGCCTCTCATTCAGTAATAACTAGGATGCAAAGGGCAGTGCTGAGAATATGTTTAAAATGCGTCTCGTCCTCGAGCTAGCTTCCATCCCAGCAGCACCAACAAGGTCACCCTCCCATTTGCACACTGCTTGTTCCACCAAGGAAGTTCCCCTGCACACCTGACCAGGGAGCTTCTGATTGGTTCAGCTTAGGTCATGAGCCCACCTCAGCCAATCAGGACACCCCAGGGATGCTGGGTCCCGATTGGTTTCCGGATACTTTTCCCTCCTCCCCGGCATGGGGGGCGGAGTCAGTGCCCCCCAGACCACGTGTCTGCATTATTATGACCGAGCCCACAGCTTGTGGGGTGTTGTGAGAGGGACTACCCACAATGGTCCCTGCACGGTGCATCGCTTTTTCACTTTGCTTTACGCGTACAAGCACACACTGATGTCTGGGGGTCTGGCTGCTAAGGAAGCAATACTAGGATTCGAGTTGGGAGCGTGTTGACCAAGTTGAATGGGATGCCCATGGCGGAGGGGCCACATAGCTGCTGGCTGGCCGCTGCTGGCTGACATCAGGGCTCCTGGTGAAATATTTTACCCCAAACGGACAGGATGTGTTTCCTGTTTGCAGGCTTGTATGAAATCTGTGACTTTTATAGTCCCTTTTTAACATACAAGCCTCTGGGATGATTATGCTTCATTGAAACAAGCATTAGCTGGGGCGGGGAGCCTACCCTAGGAACATGGGAGACTAGAATGACCTTATCACAGGAGTGATTATTTACCTTAAGCCTCATTTTACCGGGACCAGATGCCCTGTCCACAGTGAACCAGACATTTGATGATATTTCTCAATGTGCCTAAGACATTAATCCTCTCACACCCCTCCCCTGAGCAGGGACACACGCCAGGGGAACTAAAGAAAGGAGACTCATGTTTGTGCTCGGCTTGTGCAACCCACTTAATTGCTTTTGCAGGAATGAAGTGATGGGAGGTCCTGGCACCAGGAATTCGGGCGACTGAGTCATTGAGAAAGAAAATTACAAAACTCAGAATGTTTTCCTGGGAATTCATGGGCACAGCCCAGAAAAAAAAAAATATGAATATATTATGGAAGATGAATTCCCATTGTAGTCAGCACCACCAGCTGTTTGTGAAATCATGACGGAGGGCAAGCTAAAAGATCAGTAACCAGAACAATCCCTGTCTCCAAATTAATAGTTGCTACATATATTTGGAAGCAGTTCACTGTTTAATTTTATTTAATTTAAGGTCCCAAAGATCTGCCTAATGAACGTGATAAATGCAGATTAGTAAAGCTGCCATAAAAACCATAGAGGCACAAGGGAATAATGGATTTTAGATAATTTATACATATTATCATAAAGAAAAAAGTTTGTCTTGGGCAGAATGCTTTAGAAACACACCTGCTTCTGCTCTCCTTCCCTCATTGTCCACCTGAGTTTCACTGCTGTGTAGTTTTGATCAACTTGACTTCTAATTACTCCAGAGTAGCTTTTGGACATGAGCTGCAAATGTGTAAATATGACTGTGGTTTTATCTTCCCCTTTCTAGTGTTGCTCTCAGGAGGAAGGAAAGGCTTTTTAATTAAAATTAAAGCAAACAAACCCCGGGGACAGCATGCTGTGCAAAACAGAGATTTGGTTCCCGTTGAGAAAGTTGGATGAAGTGTGTATTGTGTGACCAAATGTGTCACGGTGGTTTCAGTCCCTCTTTCCCCCCCAACCTGGGATTCCCTCTGGCTCGTCCTTTAATTGCTCCAAGTAGGAAGAATCAGCAGAAACAGCAGTGCGTAGACCGAGTTGAAGCACAATGAGAGGAATAGAGCATTGAAGACATTCACTGCCCACCACGGAGTTGGCCATATGGTGTATTCTGAAGTATAAACATACCTCATTTTATTGCACTGCATTTTATTGTGCTTCACAGATAGTAAATGGAGTAGATACTTTGTGTCCCAGTAATGATTACCCTCCGAACTTGAGAAATCAATATATTCATTTATACAGTTCTGTCTTAAAAATATGCTGTTGGAGTGTCTTCAAAGCTGCTCTGAGTGGCATGAGAAAACCAATCTATTTTATAACGTTGGATTTAAAAAAAAATTTTTTTTAATGTTTATTTTTGAGAGAGAGA